CCATACCATGTTCAGGGTTGTAAAACCCTTCTCCTATCCCTTTCGTGTTCCTTTGATAAGGAGTAAGTTCCACTCAGACAGCTTCTTTTCCAAGAAGAGTTACTATGTGAAACAAATTCGCGAGTAGATGCCTCTTTGTCAACTACAATACTGGCCACTTCAAATCGAGTGTCAAACATCGTCAGAAAATGCCCTCCTTACTTCCTCCTTCCGCCTATCTAATAACAATCTCAGTCAGTAACTCTGATGTTGGCCTTGGGCCTTGTATTAGATGAGAGAGTGTTTAATTGTATTTGCGTTTGTCATTCTTAAATAAATTAGCTATGTTAACGATTATGTGATAATAATAATAATAATAATAATAATCTTCTGTTTCCATAATTGGAAACTTCGAATCAATCCAGTCAGTTCAACGGCGGATCCGGGACCTGATGGCATCTTCCAGCACAACCCTGGTCCTTCCCAGCAGCAACAGGGGAGCCCATGTTCCCATGTACCACCAAATGCAAACCACCAAATTGCAGGAGACGATGAAAAAATCTTAGCGCAGCGTGGATTGGTTATCATAAAGCCTTTATTAATGTGCCACACTCTTGGATCCTTAAGATCTTGGAAATGTGCAAAATCTCCCCCGTGGCAGTAAATTTCCTTAATCACAGCATGGGAATGTGGAACATGACACTATACCTAAATCACACTGCCGTACAGCCATCTCTAACCGTCTAAATATCCGACGTGGAATCTGTCAAAGAGACTCATTGTCACCCCTTCTCTTTTGTTTGTGCTTAATCCCCCTAAGGCATGAACTAAACAACAGTACTTATTTGTACAAACTAAACAAAAATGTGTTCAATCCCCTACTCTACATGGATGATTTCAAACTTTTTGCAAAGAGGACAATGAGTTGGAATACTGTAAAATGTTTCAGTGACGACATAGGTATGGATTTTGGATTATATAAATGTGCAAAAGTAACAATCAAGAAAGGGAGAATTACAGAAACAACCTCAATGGATTAAGACTTTATTGGACTAAGGAACTGGAACAAGTTGAAACATATATATACCTAGGAATAAATGATGCGGATAGTATACAGCATACCCAAATAAAGGAGAAAGCAAGAAAGGAGTACTACAGGCGCGTGCGTCTGGTACTGTATAGCGAGCTAAATTGAAAAAAAAAAACAGAGTATCAGCCACAAACACCTTGGCTGGCCTTGTGGTGAAATACAGTTTTAACATCCTTAACTGGACCATAGCTGACATTAATCGAATGGACGTCAAAATGAGAAAGCTTCTCAATTGCTACCGCCTTCATCATCCCAAAGCTGATGTTGATCGTCCTTATCTGCTCAAATCCGAAGGAGACAGAGGATTAGTTCAACTAGAACTGCCTTTCAAAACTACAGCAATTGGCCTTCAAAGATACCTGAAAACTATAGATGACTGGATGATGATACGTGTTAAAGAACATGAAAGTAGTAAGCGTCTTTATTCCGTAATAAAGGAAGCCAACAAGTTTCAAATGGGTGCAGAAATACAAAGCAAAAATACACCGACTGAAGCAACAAAATACTTAAAAAAAAACAAATGCAAATGTAACCGACCAGATACAGAAACGATGTCAAGATAAACTGCGTCACGGTCAATACTCCGTATTAAACAAGCTGATGTAGACAAACCACGTACACATCAATGGCTAAGTAGTGCAGGGTTAAATCTGAAATCGAAGGTTTTATTATTACTGCACAAGATCAATTCTTGTTAAATAGAAATTATTCTGTTAGCCCAAAATACTGTGATAAATATCCAGAAACAATTGAGCATCTTGTATCAGGTTGCACGATATTGGCGCCCACTGAATATAAAACAGGACATGACAGAGTGGGCCAATATCTGCACTGGAAAATCTGCAACTTCTACGGGAAGGAAACTGAAAGAAACTGGTATGAACACCACCCAGACCCGGTTACGGAGATGGGACCTGTAAATATTTTATGAGACTACACAATACACACATCAGAACAATCAAAGCTAATCACCCATTATTATTAGAGACCGCAAACAAAACAAAGCCTCTTTATTGATATGGTAGTATCTTTGAACATTTTCAGAAAGATTTCAAAACACTAGGACCTTGAAATAAAAATCTCAAAAATGTGAAACATGAGAACATCAACAATCCCTGTTGAAGGTATTCTTGGAACCCTATGCCTTAAAGAAATACAAAACTTTGTTCCCACGAGTAGAGCCCACAATTACAAAGGGATTCATCTATGTAAAATAGTTGTATGTTTAATTATTTATTTACTTCTTCAGTGGAAAAAATCTAACTATAATTACGAATTTGAAATTCTTAACCTTTGAACTTCTTTGAAATTATATATATATATATATATATATATATATATAAGCTTAAGGTGGTGAATACTGCCATAATCCTAGGCTTCATCTCATTATATTTTGTTGGTTTGCCACTCAACTGCGCCCCAAGATGGTTGCCGTCAGGGGAGTTAGGTTGACAGATGTAAGGGGTTACGTGATCGCGTAAATTCTCTGATGATTATGACTGGGTTCTTCTGCTTATGTGGCATGATGTAGAGTCCTGTTGACAGATATAAGGTTTTCCAGCGGCCACCCTCTTAATCCAGAGCTTCACTATTTCCTCAAGTCAACTGATGCATGCCTACTTATTATATCTGAGTTTATCACCAACATTCGGGAGTTCTTTTCCTATCAGAACGATTAGAGTGAATTTTCCGAGATGCCGTACCTACGTAATCTCTATTAGAGATCAAACTATTTCGAAATCATCTTCACTGTTCTCAGATTTACAACTCTGAAATGTTCGTATTAGAGCTTCAGACGCGAAGATGAGCTAATTCTATAAACAACAGCCACCTGCGTTAATGCAAAGCTCTTCAGTAAAATGAATTGGAGCAATCCGGCTGATTGGAATTTATTTACAATCGTAAAAATAATACACTAGATTTAGTTGTTACTCTGTCGAATGAAGATAGCTCAGTGGTAGAAACTCTGTCTGATCGTTTCGGTTTCGATCCGGGCTTGAGGCATACAAACGTCTAGTCGCAATGAGGAGCTGTGATACAACGAAACAGTACTGTCTGCGAATGACATATATATATATATATATATATATATATATATATATATATATATATATAGATAGATAGATAGATAGATAGAGAGATAGATAGAGAGATAGATATGTGCTATTCTAGCGTGAGCTCTACCTCAATATGTCGTGCCCTTCCCTCACGTGGCCATCAGGTAAGGTGAGGTGTAACATGGATATATCTGCCTCACATTTTCTAAACACGTGAAACGTGAGGTAGACGCTATAATGAAGTAGACCTCACGCTATAGTAGCATAGATAGATAGATAGATAGCCTAGTCTCACGCCTCATAAAGGCACGAATGTGATGTCATGCCTTTAGATTTGTCTGGAGATAGTTTAAGGAGAGAAATTAGGAATCACCATGCAATACTTCCCGATATACACCTCTGAAATGTTCGTATTAGAGATTCCGGTGCGAAATATATATATATATATATATATATATATATATATATATATATATAGAGAGAGAGAGAGAGAGAGAGAGAGACAGACAGACAGACAGACAGACAGATAGATAGAGATAGATAGATAGATAGATAGATAGATGTTGAGGCCTAACATGGATATTTATATCTGCCTCACATTTTCTAAACACGTGAATCGGTGGGTAGACCTCACGTTATAGTAGCACAGATAGATAGATAGATAGATAGATAGATAGATAGATAGATAGATAGATAGATAATGTGCTACTATTGCGTAAGGTCTACTTCAATATGCCGTGCCCCTTCCAACGTGTCCATCATCTAAGTATTTAAAACCGGAGATTGATCTCACGCTATAATGAAGTAGACCTCACGTTATAGTAGAACAGATAGATAGATAGATAGATAGATAGATAGATAGATAGATAGCCTAGTCTCACGCCTCATATGGTACGAGTGTGATGCCATGCTTTTAGACTTTGTCTGGAGATAGTTTAAGGAGATAAATTAGGAATCAATATGTAATATCTTTCTGACATACTGAACGCTCTTTTCTCATAAATTCAGAAAATTTGAAACAATAAAATACATGTATGTATGAATGTGCATGTATGTATTTTGAACACCTATATAAATATGAATTAGGTATAATTACACATTCTATACACACGCATTCATTGACCTTTTCACAGTTCTACAGCCGAACAAATCTGATTTTTTACCTATTTCTTGGAAGAAGAGCTAAACTTAGAAACTGATTTCGCACCCAATCTTGCGACGTGCTACTGCATAAGAGTCAGTTAGACGTCACATACGAAAATATAAATTGTAAATGTGCTAAAACAAATCAAAGTGGAGTATGAACAATCTGTAAGAGTTTTTTTTTTCTTTTGCTTTTTTGTTTTTTTTTCCGTCCACGGAATACATTATTTTTAATAAGAGGAAAAAGAAGTTAGAATGGCAAACAAATTGCTGTAAAAATGAGAAATAAATATATATATATATATATATATATATATATATATATATATATATATATATATATATATATAGCAGGGTTTACTTCTATGAACAAGACGTCAGAATATTGAATAATGAAAAGCTGTTGCTGTTGGTAGGTAGCGATCGGTAATTGGGTTTTTCGCACGAGGTTTGTTAGCAATTTATTTGTCTATAAAGAAACTGCACTTGTTTAACCTCGTTTGTTAGTTTCGAGTTGGAGAAGGGTTGTGTCGTATTTGTTTTAGGCGTAGTTTTGATGTTTTGTTAGGATTTTCTTTAAGATTTTCTCCTTTATTTTCCATTATTTTGTTTTTAATTTTCATCATCAAAGTCGCTTCGATCCTTTCCTCTCTTAAATTATTGATATATCATCGTTCGTTTTTGTTTTTTTGTCACTATAAGTATATTGTTCCACACTTTCCATCATAATCATGGATCTTCGCCATTTTTTTCATTTTCATTTCATCCATTTGCTTTTCTCGCCTTTTCTTTCCTCCCTGATAAGTTTCTTTTTGTCTTTTATTTTTGTAATCACTAACGTCGTCATCTTTCTTTCTTTTCCATTTGGTAATTTAACCAATATATATTCTTCATTTTTATTCTTTCTTGCATATTTTTCTTTTAAATTTCTCCTGTTATATCTTTCTTATGCTATGTTATTATTATTATTATTATTATTATTATTATTATTATTATTATTCGATTTCCATATTGTGTTTTTTCCAAAGGAAAATATATTACAGACTTCTTTCTTTGTTTGTTTCTTTCATTCTTTCCTTCTTTCTTTCTTTCTTTCTTTTACTTTTCAGTTTCACCCTTTATATCTTTTGAGTGTTATAAATTGTTCATTTGGTTCTTCTTCTTCTTCTTCTTCTTCTTCTTCTTCTTTGATTTCCATATTGTGTTTTTTTCCAAAGGAAAATATATTACAGTCTTCTTTGCTTCTTTGTTTCTTTCTTTCTTTCTTTCTTTCTTTCTTTCTTTCTTTCTTTCTTTCTTTCTTTCTTTTACTTTTCAATTTCACCCTTTATATCTGTTGAATGTTATAAATTGTTCATTTTGGTTCTTCTTCTTCTTCTTCTTCTTCTTCTTCTTCTTCTTCTTCTTCTATTATAATCTATTTAAAATACATTCTTCATTTTATTTATTTATTCTTTCTTATTCTTCTTAATTTCTTCTCTTATATATTTCCAATGTTATTACTTTTTAATTTCCTTCATTACTTTTACAACAGCTATCCAGTAATACAATTAATACTTTATTTCCTTTTCTCTTTCTTCTATGTAACATTTCCGTCACATAACTTATTCATTATACAATCAGCTTTTTCATTTTCTTTCCGGAAATGTAAAAATGTCTTTCCTATTTTGTCTTGTGCCTCCCTTTTTTAGGGTACTGAATTTTCCTTCTTTCTTATGATCTTAGGCTTCTTCGTTAAATTTTGCTTTTTTTTCTTCTCTTGCAGTCTTTTTTTTATTTTTCATATTATTTTATTCTGTTATTTTTTATTCATTAACCTTTCTCATCATTATTATTGTTTTTTTTCTTTTTTGCCTTTTATGACTTTCTTTTTTTTCATTTTACCTTCTATTTTTTTCTTCCTCGTCTTCTTCATTTATGAAATGCTTATTTTAAAAGAGTATACTATTGCATGTGGGTAAACCATTCTTCTTCTTCTTCTTCTTCTTCTTCTTCTTCTTCTTCTTCTTCTTCTTCATTTCCTAAAGTTTTTCAATATTATAACATATTCTTCTTTATCTTTTCGTTCGCCAACATCAATTATTATTATTATTATTATTATTATTATTATTATTATTATTATTATTATTCCTTTGATTTCTGGTTGGTACTCATTTCTTGTGCGTTGTGGTGTAACAGATATGCGAGTGCGTTATATTCATTACGCACATGTACCCTTGGGAAAGGTATGAATTCATCTCGTCTCCCCCGAGCTATGGGTCGAATAGTAGGACAGACTGGGTTCTTTAGCGTTGGTTGTCAACCAGTCTACCACTGAAAGAAATGGCAAACTACGTCGGAAAAATAGTTTTCTGCCTCGCCAGTCATGTATCGAAAGATACATTATCGCCCGAGCGTGTATCACTTAACTGGCCTAACTGACTCATTACTCTCCGGGTCCCGACCAGAGACCTAAAGTCAGAAATGTCATCATGACATTTTCTACTGAGAAATTTGGGAAAAAATCACTCGTATATTACATAGATAAAGCCCTTCGTAAGGTGTGTTCTGTACTCGTGAGAACATTTTTTTGGTATTTCATTCAGGCTTGGTCTAACAGTAATCCCATAAATGAGTATAATGGAATCTTTTCCAATCAATCCGAGGGCTACAACTACAATTGTAATTGTTGATTTTCTCTTGTGCCACATTTTTTAGATTTCGATTTCAAGGTTCTTGTATTTTAATAGTTTTTTGAAGATCTTCAAAGATAGATTACAAACTGCAATGACTGCTATATCAATAAGGAAACACTTTTTTGTCATTGCAGTCTCTAATCACATCTGGGTGATTAACTTTGATTGCTCTCTCTCTGTATTGTGAAGTCCCATAAAATTGTTACAGATCCTATATAACTGCGTCTGACTGGTGTTCATGCCAATTTCTATCAGGTTCATTATTATTATTATTATTATTATTATTATTATTATTATTATTATTATTATTATTATTATTTTATTTACTTTTATTTCTGCTGTTTGCTCATTTATTTCTGTGTGCTCATTGATTTCTGCGACATATAGTCAGAAATGGCATCATGACATTTCCACTGTGCAATTTTTAAAAAAAAGAAAAAAACAAAACAAAATAAAATAAAGCAAAAAAACATAATTTACATAGATAAAGCCCTTCGTCAAGTATGGTTTGTACCCGTTAGAATATTTTTTGTATCTTTTTAAGGTATGGGCTACCATAATCGCGTAAATGAGTCTATAGGAATATTTTCCAAAAATTCGGAATGCTCCAACTACAAATACAATTGTTCTTATGTCCCACATTTTTGTGATTCGATTTCAATGTCCTTATATTTTGAAAGCTTTTTGAAGATGTTCAGAGATTCATTGCTGTCTATATATCAATAAGGAGACACTTTTTTGTTTGCCGTTTCTAATAACGATGTCTGAGAGATTAAGTTTGATTGTCCTGTCTATGTGTATTGTGTAGTCCCATGAAATTATATCTGTAACCGGGTCTGTGTGGGTTCATACCAATTTCTTGCAGTTTCCTTTCCGTGGAAGTTGAAGATATTCCAGTGCAGATATTATCCCACTCTCTCATGTCCTGTTTTATATTCAGTGGGTGCCAATATCGCGCAACCTGATACAAGATGATCTGAACATTTATCACAGAATCTACATTTCGGACTAACACGATTTTTCAATATGTGTACTTGATAATTTCTTGTTAATACCAAGAAAAAACAAACAAACTTTGGTTTCAGTTTTGAGACGTGCACTAAATATTAACTGATTGGAACGGGATTTGTCTATCTCAGTTTGTTTGGTACGGGCAGAATATTGATCGTGAAGTAGTACCTGCTCAGTTGCATTTGCTTTTTCTTTCTTTTTTTTTTAAGTATTTTCCAGCTTCAATCGGTGCACTGTTCTTTACTTTCATTTCTTCCGCCATTTGGAACTCCATTTTGAACTTGTTCGCTTCCTTTATTATTATTATTATTATTATTATTATTATTATTTTCTTTGATTTCTGGCGTTTACTCATTTCTTTCCGGGTCCCGCCCAGGGACCTAAGGTTAGAAATGGCATCATGACAAAAAAAAAAAAAAAAAATACATAGATAATGCCCTTCATAAAGTGTGGGCTGTACTTGTCAGAACAATTTTTGTATCTCCTTGAGGCATGGACTTCCAGGAATCCCTTCATTTAGTCTATTGCAATCTTTTCCAACCAGTCCTAGGGCTCCAGCTACAACAGGGATTGTTGATGTTTCCATATGCCACATTTTCGAGATTTCTATTTCAAGGTCCTTGTATTTTGAGAGTTTTTTGAATATCTTCAAAGATACATTGCAGTCATCAGGGACTGCCATATCAATAAGGAGGCACTTTTTGTTTGTGGTCTTTAATAAGAATATCTGGGCGGTTGGCTTTGATCGTTCTGTCAGTGTGTATTATTATTATTATTATTATTATTATTATTATTATTTTTTATTTTGATTTTCCTTTGATTTCTGCTGTGACCAATACGTAGATATATATATATATACATTTTTCCATATATATATATATATATATATATATATATAGATAATATTAGTGGAAAATATACTTTATGTAAACACATTTTTATTTTCCTTCGTCCCATCCCTCTCCCCCACCCTTTTTTTTTTTTTTTTTTTTTTTTTTTTCCTTCCTATCCGAATTGTCTGTGGTGTGTATATGTCACCACGAAATATATCTTTATGTATTAGACATCCGTCGACTTTCTTCTCCTCTTTTAAATCCACCCACCCACATCTCCAAAAAATTCTCTCTGTCACTCATCCTCATACTTACACTTTCTCTAAATTCTGTTTTGATTTCCGGAGTTGATTTTTTCTGTTTTCATTTTGAATTTGTAGGTCTGATGATTTGGATCGTATTTACGATTCCAATGGAATAAATTATGACCATGGAATATTAGTGTTTAAGCCTTTTATTATATATATATATATATTTATATATATATATATATATATATATATATATATATTACAAAGATAAAGCCCTTCGTAATGTGTGGACTGTACTCGTAAGAACAATTTTTTGTATTTCTTTAAGGCATGAGCTTCCAGGAATTATTTAAGGCATGAGCTTCCAGGAATTATTTAAGGCATGGGCTTCCAGGAATTATTTAAGGTATGGGCTTCCAGGAATTATTTAAGGCATGGGCTTCCAGGAATTTATTATTATTATGATTATTATTATTATTATTGTTTTATGCTATGTTTTCTGCTTTGTATTCTGAGGAGTCGGATCAAAACTATGGTATTTAGACCCTATAGGAAAATTTTCATTTAATTGATAGCACTTTTCTTTGTATATAGGATGTTCGTAGGAGGTTGAACTCCTGGGCAACTTCTATGTTGATGTTACCTGGGATAATGTTAGTAAAATTGTCGATTCCTTTTATCCCGAGGCAGAGAGCTCTGATTACTATTGGTACAGTCTTATTCTTCATTCTTTATATCCTGTTAATCTCGATCTCCATGTCCTTGTATTTCGATTTCTCGATAATTTTCAGGAGGTGTTTCTTTCAGATGCTATTGCTTTGTTAGTAAGTATACACTTCCATTTTGGATAACTGTATCTGATTAGTGCGCATAGCATTTCTCAGTTGTTTCGATTTGGGGCTTATTTCACTTCCTTTGATTTCTGGTATATACTCATTTCTTTCCGGGTCACGGCCAGAGATTTCAGGTCAGAAATAGCATCATGATATTTTCCATGGAGTATTAAAAAAATATTAAATACACATATTTTACATGGATAAAGCCCTTCGTAATATGCGAGCTCTAAGAGAACAGATTTTTGTATTTCTTTAAGGCATGGGCTACCAGGAATCACTTCAGTTAGTCTATTGGATCTTGTCCAATCAATCCGGCGGCTCCTACTGCAATTGAAATTGTTCATCTCCTCACCTGCTACATTTTTGAGAAGTCGATTGGGATAGACGAGACAAGGTTTGTTTCACAGAGAGCCAGTATATCCGGGCCGTTTGCAGTGAGGAAAGATTCCAGACTGCAGAAGTTTGTCCTAATGTCACGGATGTTGGAGAACGAAATGCTGAGGTGTTTAGGTGGTTTTTGAGAGGCTGGTTTAGGGTTAATCTTTCGGTATTTGTAACTGATATTGAATTTTGTTTGTAAGATGAGAAGGCCCGAAGTCAAAGAAACAGACAGTTTCGACCGTGACGCGGGCAGAGAGGAGTTGGCAAAATCTGCATCATTATGTGGCCTCAGGGCTGCCCACCGGAGGTGACTGCAGGGACACCTTTCCATGCGCGACATGGCACTACAAACACCCCGGTATTATACAACTGTTGATCAGAGCGGCCGCTCAAGACGCTACGCAAGAGTTAGGACTCCTAACTACCAGTTGGAAACAGCAACCAGAGAACTGTCAGCCGTGTACCCTCAGAATGAAGAGGTGAT